AACGGCTTTTTTGACTGTTTTTTCAAAAATTTGCCTGCGGCGCAGAAAATTTAGCCAAAGTAGGGCCAAAACAGTGCTTTGGGAGAGCTCGAAAAATCAATTTGGTCGACCTAAAAAAAAAAAAAAGGTCGTCAAAATTTTGGAAAATTTTTTGAAAATCCGCCCCCCCCCCTCGAGAAAATCCTAGATCCGCCCCTGAAAGAGAAGCTGGACAAGTATACACCAATGTGTGGATAGAGTTTTGTTTCGATTGGTTGTAACAACTTATTAAAGGGAAAACATCCATTTTGTGTTTGTTTTTAACAATACAACTGGTGATGTCTTTAAAACCTAGAGTTGATAACTTCCAGAATTTTTATAACATCTTGAAGTCTAAAAAAGTTTTAAGGATAGATTTTGCTGAAGGTTAAAAAATTTTTTTAATCTTCAGCACAATCTATCCTTAAAACTTTTTTAGACTTCAAGATGTTATAAAAATTCTGGAAGTTATTAACTATAGGTTTTAAAGACATCGCCAGTTGTATTGTCAAAAACAAACACAAAACACAAGAAATATAAACAAATCTAAGCAAAACAAAAAATTGAAGGCACTGCAGACATCTTATGCATAAGAAACATATCGAGATCTTTTTCGGTTTCTTCAGGGAGCCGTGTATAGTTTGTAAAAACAACAGAAGAATCAACCACGCAACTGAAATGGCAGCTCAAAAATTTTTTTAAAACAATTGATTTTTTTTTCATTCTGAATTATTTAAAAATGCCCTAGCTTGAAAAGTACTAGCATGGGTCAATTTTAAAATCATTTCATTTGTCTATTAACTAAAATGAGCGTATCTACTGAACTGGAGCTGATTTGACATTTTAATCCCACCTCAATTAAAAATCAATTGGGAACTCGGAAGGAATTGAAGATTTTTTGGTCAATTCTGAGACAGTATCAAACCGATAGGAGACAGCTCTATTATAGGCTTTCAGTTTTTTTAGAAGGCTCCGTATCCCGGCTAATATGAGTGATAAAGACTGAGTCTGAAACCAAAACTTTTCTAGCAAATCTGCAGACGGAAAAACAGATATTTCAGTGGGTTTGAAAAAATGAAAGATAAATGTCCGTTTGTATACTTGGTGGAAATAAGCTTAACTCCGAAAGCATTCAAGATTTCAAGATGCCCGACAAAAAAAATTGAAAATACTGTAATGCCAATAAAAAACGGAACTTGAATGAACGATGGCTGTTCATATTTACTAATTGGGCAAACCATATGGAAAAAAAACACGCATTATAAAATCATGTTTTGAATCTTGTTGTAAGACTGATATTAAATATGTAGTGTATTTTTTTCTAAATATTTGTAACGTAAAACAATGTATTGTTCAAAAAGTACAAACAGTTGGGACAGATTGCAAATGAGAATGTACCGAGGACAGTGTGAGGTTTGTTTTAAAATATATAATTTTTGCCGGCTGGCTGAAGATAGGCAAAATTTTCGATTAATTGGGACTGAAGGCACTGCACCCTTGAAACAACTTGAGATACAGCCAATTCAGAATGCTGAAACCGTATCAAACGAAGAACTAACGAAATAATTAACGTGCAACTGCTATCAATGAAACGGATTCTTCCAACTTTCAAAGAAAGTGTAGGAATTTTTGCGGTTTTTTCAAGGGACGATTTTTTAACTGGAATTTTTTAGCGCAACCCCCCCCCCCCCCCCCTCAGGGATTCGACCCCCTGCCGACTTAAAGATTCCCCCCTTTGATACTTTTTCAGAAATCCATTTTTGGCCGACCGACCCTAAAAATTTTTTAAAGGTGCCTTCGGCGCCAATATATACTAAATTTGAGGGGGAGCGCGCGCCAAAAAAACGCCATTTTTTTGGTCAAAATTTTTCAAAAAGTGCCCAAAAACGGCTTTTTTGACTGTTTTTTCAAAAATTTGCCCTAAAATTTAGCCAAAATAGGGGCAAAACAGTGCTTTGAGAGAGCTCGAAAAATCAATTTGGTCGACCTAAAAAAAAGGTCGTCAAAATTATCAGCCCCCCCTCGAGAAAATCCTAGATCCGCCCCTGGCTTTCAGGTCATCCCTAGTTGCATCGTCGGAATAATGAAATTATAAATTTTATTCAAAACCAAAAAATTTTACCCACCGTAGAAGTATCTTGTAGAGCAAAAAAGTAAATTCAATGTTTTTTTTAGTTTGTTTGGATAGTCGTGTGTAGTTCGTAATAATTATGAAGAACAATTTATCAAAATTAAAAAGAAAACAAGGCAGCTCAAAAAAATCAAAAGTCAGTTTTTGTATATAAGAGAAAAAAAAATTTTTTAAGAATACCAAAACTTGTAACACACAATAAGAGGCTTATTTCAATTTCATTTATTTTTACCAAAAATAATAATCTGAAATTAAAGCGTTTTTATTTGTTTCACGCTTACTAAGACTTCATTACTTTTTGTTTTCGAAAAATTATATCAATTTCAAGACAGAGTGGTGAAGCGGAGCTTCACATCAATCGCAATACAAAATAAAAATAGTAGTGCAAGCTGGCAGACAAGAAAAAAACCACAAAGTCCAAAAAAAGCAGAAAAAAAACGCTTCAAAAATCCAAAATACATGTGTTGTCATAAAAAAAATTTGAACTATAAGTTCTATTCTAAAAACTTTAGAGTTTTATGCGATCTGGAATGAAGCATTAGACCAATGTTTTCTTTGAAATGGCCCCAGATTAGTTCACTGAGCTGATAAAATATAAGCCCAAATCATTGAAGCCGATTAAACTTTTTCAGCGAAAAAAAATGCAAAATTAACGAAGTCAAGGATAGAAAAATTAAAAAGTGCAGGAAAAATCCATATTACTGAAAGCAATTAGATTGAAAGTTATATAAAAAAAATTAAATTTTATGATGTGTTCATTAAGCCGACAAAACATAAGCAGACAAAAGATATACCGACAATTTATGGAAAGGAATGTTTCGATTAAAAAAAACAGTTCTGGTGAAATTCGAACCCACGAGCTTTGCCGTCCCAGGCGTATTCTTCACCGTCCATATTCGTGTTTGATAACGCTGGCTAATGGCAAGCGTAAATAGTTTACAGATTGCTCAAACTTCATTTTGGTGTGCCTATCACCGAAGGTGAGGATTAGCAGGTTTTGGACGCTAACTCTACTGCTGCAAACCTGACTTGAACTCCATAAACCGAAAATGCTAGTCATACAATTCCCTAAAATAAGTCTACGAAAAAATATTAGTCATACAAATTTCATACATTTTGCTAAAAAGATTTCATCGACTTTTCAAAGATCTTTTCTCTTGTTTTGGCATAAAAGTCGGTGTATCGTACTAAATAAAACAGAAAAATTTGTTTTCAAAAAAATGCAAATCAACAATTTCCATATATGGAAATTGAATGACTAACATTTTTTGATGGCGATAACAATTTTTTTTCCAAGTAATTTTGATATTGCCTCAAATTTTTTTTGCATCTCAAATTTTAAAAATAATCATCGTTGAAAATGTTTGCCAAAGTTTAAAAGTTTGCTACTTTTGTAATACCATTTGTGTAAGACAGCTCTAAGTCAATTCAGGTCGTTTTCTATGCATTGTAAATGCAGAGCTGTCCAACGTTTGGTGACTCCAGCTCTGCGTAAATCAAGTTCTTTGTCACTTGCGTTCCGGTTACGAACACAACACAAAAATTTTCAGAAATTAAATTCAGAAAAAAAATCAAATTTTTTGGTCTATGGAAAAATACTTATCATACAGTTTTCATATTTGGAAAAATTTATATCATAGAGGTTTCATACAATTTTCTGTATGTATGGATTTGTATGGAACTGTATGGTAAGAAGTTTTTTTATTTAAGGAAATTGGACGATAAGAATTTTTGGTCAACCCGGGCAAGCGTCAGATTGAGAGGGACGTTATCTCATACTAATTTTTTAAGACGAATCATCCACGAGAGAAAGAGCCAACATGGGAGCTTTTCGCCTCTTTGAGGATATATATTGTTGTATATATGTTTAACAATTTCAAGCGCTTCTTTTGCTGATATTAGTTATTTTACCCTCAAGCAACGAGCACGAATCAGGGTGGGCCCCGAACATCCGACCTTTCGATTCAGAAGCGGAGACATAACCAGTTCACCACTTTTACCCAATAAGTCACAAGAAGGCCATTCATTTTGATTTGAGTTGCATTAAATTTTTTAAATTTTTTTTAAAATTCTGTGATTTTCCGATGTTGCCAGGAAAAAACGGTTGGAAACTTTGCAAAAAGGGTTGTGTTTTGTTAGGTAATCAAAAGTAATTTTTTAAGCTTTATTTTAGCCCTAAATAGTAACTATGTCTAAATTTGGATCACTGCCTATCTACCATTTGCTTGACATAATTGATAATCCGTTACAAATCAAATCATTTCAATTCCTCTGGCGTTCTTCTGGTTCAAATAGAGGCGCTCAATTTTGAACCAGAGCTCAATTCCTCTGGCTCGGTGATTGGTATTTGTTAAATTAACATCATAAAAGTTATGTTTAATCTTAATTTTAATTATTCTAATTTTTAGAAAGAAAAGCCTATATTAGCCCGAAATGCTGATTCCCTCCTAGAAATTGTTCACAGTTATAACCACTATAACCACAGTTATAATCACTGCAAAGTAAAATTTCGCTACTTGTCAATGCTGCGTTTGAACTATATGTTCTGGGTGGTTAACTGTTTTGAGTCTGATAAATTTTCGGTCTGTTAAACACCTTGTCTGCTAAAAGACCTTGGTGTATAAGGTTCTGACAGAAAAAGATGCATCTTGTAAGACTCTGATTTGAGCATGAACTTATAAATTCTTACAAGAAAATTTTCGTAGAACTTACTAATAAATTTCGAGTCCAACTAGAGTTCGACTAAGATCTGACAGATTTATGCATTAAGTTACAAATTCCTCCTAGGAAACTCTAGGAAACTTCGAAGATCTTTCGGAGTCGGCTAACAACGGGCTAGCAATTAAATTACCTGGCGGGGGTTCCAGCGTTGTCTCCATTGATCCAGAAAGTGACCCAGCTGACTAGTACTAGCGAGGCTGCTGGCACGTACACCTGGTACAGGTAGATGGAGCTGATGCGTCTCAGACTGATCAGAGCTTCCAGGATTACAAAGTGCTGTTTGCCATAGGCAGCTTCATAAGTGGACACCGACATGTTCAGGATCTCATAACTAAAATAGAAAAGATGGCCCCGTATCCGGCGCGAAATTCACGCCAGGAACCTGTGAAAAATGCAGGTTCAATATCTTTAATTCACTGAACTAAGATTGACTCGTTTATTCTTTAACGGTTAGCAACAGTGAATCCAAACATCGCAGACTAAACTTAAGGTTGACAGGTATTAATTAATTAGTAGCCGCACCAGACACATAGCTAACCAATGGCGCCAACACGTAATATATGATTAGATACTATATATGACATTCCCTCAACAATCAATTTTCAAACAACTGTTTTAAAAATTATCCAACGGAAATGTTTGAGTTTTAGACCAGCGATAGTCCACCCTCTCCCTGGGCATGAGTTTTAGTTTAACAAGTTTCTTGAGTTTCCTTTTTCACTCCCTCTTTCAAATGTGCCTTCCTGCTCAATTAGTGTCCCGCTCTCTGTCTTCCTCTCCTTTGGATGTTCTCGCTTTCAATATACTATCTATCATAACCCCGCCGAATTTAGATACCGCCGTCCGCTTCCTGGTACTTTTCCGTGATCCTGTTCCATCTTCTGATTCTTGACTAGAGTATGATACGAGACGTAAGCGTCGTACTCGTTCCCCTTTCTTTTTAGAATGTTTCCCCCCTCGTCCTTCGTTACTCAAATTTGGGGCACTCCCCCCTTGCTCGTTGCTCATAGTCTGGACCTCCGTGTCCACCCCCTGGGATTTTCCAGCTCCGCTTCCTTCGGATAAGTTTGGTCTTCCAATTCCGTCTTCTACATCGTTATTCATTTTTGGTTCATTTCCTTCCACATCTCGCCCTGGTGCTATTGTTGAGTTCCCTGCGTGTTTGGAAATTGTTATTGGCTCGTACTCCGAATCCGAATCGTCCTCCTCCGCTGGTGAAAATTCTCGCACTCTGTTATCAGCCTTACTCTGTGCGCTTGCTTTACTCTGTGTGCTCGTCCCCGCCGCCTGTTCGTTCGCTGCTCGCTTTAGTTCCGCCCGACGTTGCAATGCACTCATAGCTGGGAGTGGTAGTGTTAGCTTACTCGCGGTAGTTGGCGCGTTCGATTTGATGACTTTCTCGGCAACCCCACTTTTCCTAAGTACAGAGCCATTTGCTAGAGTTATAGTGTGCTTAGATTCGCGAATTACTTTTTGGTTTATGGGTCTATACCTTTTATTGCTATCCTTGAGTCGTTGGAACAACAGTTCGGTCCGTTTACTTGGCTGTTTAGACTTTCCCCCACAAGCCTGTTTCCCGTCCCCGTCAGCCATTGGTGTTCCATCCGCCGCCGAAACTAGTTGATTTTGTGTCAGTCGCCTAGGGTGATTCATATGATCGACATCAAACTCCACGTCGGATCGTTCTTCCCAATCCGTTGCCAAGGGTTGGATGTTCCTCGGAGCTCTGGGGTCAGTAGAATCTAAATAGGCAGATTTTTGTTTCAACACTCTGGCCCAGTTTAGGTTTTGCAGGGTTGGCTTTTTCGTAAGATTTCGCAGTACCGTATTGGCTTCTCTGCCGTGATGAGCCTCAAACGGCGATATCTTGAGAGTAGCATTTGGGGCAAATCTTAGAGCACTCAAGGCTCGTTCTATCATTGATTCTAAGTTTCCACTATCTTTTTCTTTAGCGTAAGTTAAGACAAAGTTTTTCAGACTGCCAATGGTACGTTCGACACACCCGGTGGCGCGATGATCATTCACGGGTGAATAAATTATTTCAATTCCTTCGGAATTGCAAAATGATTTAACTGCATTCGATGTGAAACTTGTACCTTGATCCATAAAAATTTTCCTAGGGACACCATGTTGAGATATGTATTGTTTAATGAACTTAAGGACCTTGTCGCTTTTATTATTTCCGCAGATCATTGCAGAGGGCCAACGTGAGAATCGGTCAACCGCTACCAAGACATATTTACTTGATTCATTTAAGTATCTAATTGGACCCCAAAAATCAAGCTGTAGGCATTCGTTCGGCTCGCGTGGTTCATAGATCTTCCCAACATCACCTTTGGCGCATAATGGTTTAAGGCTTTTACCTGCATCGGTGCATTCCTTGCATCCATCCGCAGCTGCGACTAAACTCCGGTGGAGATAGGGAAACCAGACATCCCTCGCAGCGTCGAACATACTCGAGCGCCCATGGTGAAACGCATGTATCCGATTAACCACAGCCTTCCTGAGTGGTATGGGGATGACGAGTCGTTCGTCCATCCACAGACAATTTTCCCGCACGTGGAAACCATGTGTGTGCTGTCCGAGGTAGGCACCCATTGCTCTGACCTTCTTTTCCAAATCCGGGTCCTTACTCTCCACCAGTTCTTTTATTGCGCGCATCTGGGGGTCCCCTTTATAGTTCGCTTCCACGAGCTTCAGGTTGAATAGCTCCGGCAGTGCACTGCTTTTGCGGACTATCTTGCAGTCCCGGGGGATTACTGACATGATGACGTTCCCTCCTGCTGGGTATGCCGCCGGAAAAATTTCACCTCCGAATGCCGAAGGAATGGAGATGACTGTGTTGCATCGAATGTCCCTGGTGTGATGCGTCTCCGCCTCCAATCGTGCATCCACAATCTCCACCTCGCTGCTACTGCCGCTCGTTATTTCTGGATGTTTCAACAGTAATTTATTTAATTTCTTCAAATTAAGTGATGTCATTGTAGATATGTGTATTTTGTTAGATCGATAACTTGTTTTGTTAAATAGAGGACTACTGTTTACTGTGGAATTAATATCAGACTCACGTAGTTTACATTCGGTGATTGACTTTACTACTTTTGCGCTTTCCCGGTCATTACACTCAGCTATTCGTTTTAGTGGCTTCTGATTGGTCAACCGATGGTCACGCGTTTTGACGCCCTCTTCCGGTGGAATGTTAACTTTATCGTTTCCAACTTGAATATCTTTAGCTGAAACAATTGATTCCTTTGATGCTTTGATGATCCCTTTATTGGTATCAATATATCCGAGTGAATTGGTAATTGATTTCAATTTTGCCACTGTGAAAGTGTTATCATAAAGACTAACTTTCGTGGCTTCCCCCACCGGATGCCTTGAAAGGTAATCCGCCAGGCCAATTTTAGCCCCAGGCATGTGTTCAATGACAAAATCAAAGGGGATAATTCTATCAATCCAGCGAGTTAATCGACTGAACATAGTCTTGTTTTTCTTATTGTTCCCATTCAATAAAGATAGCAAAGCTTTATGATCTGTCACCACAGTAAATTTCCGCCCGAAAATATAATTTCTGAAGTATTCGGAGCCCCAAACTACGGCCAGCATTTCTAGCTCATTCGTCGAATATTTCTTTTCGGCCGCATTTAAAAACCGGGACGCAAATGATATTGGTCGCCAACCCTCGGTGCCTAGTTGTTCGAGTACCGCCCCCAAACCGTTATGGCTTGCGTCGCACACGATACGTATATCCTTATGTACGTCGAAATGCTTAAGTTCTACAATGTTCGCGACTTGTTTCTTAATCGATTCGAACGCTGTTTGGCAGTCAATTGTCCAGAGGAATTCGTTCTTCTTACTTAGAAGTGGACGTAGAGGCGCCGAAGTTTCCGCTAACGCCGGTAAGTATTTGTGAAGACTATGGATTGACCCCATGAACAATTTCAACTGAGAGAGCGTTTTCGGGGCGGTTAATTTGTCAATTGGATCTGTTTTCCGCACCATTGGTGTAATCCCTGATTTCGTAATCCGGTGGCCTAACCACTCGCAAGTATTTTTCGCAAATTGACATTTTTCTAGCTTCAAAGCCATATTTTCTTTATCGAGTTTCGTTAAAATCTTCTCCACTAAAGCGATATGTTCGATCTTGGTACCTTTCGAAATTACTAATATATCATCAATGAAAGCATGCGCGCACGGAAATTCAGCCAGAATGGCATCCATGACCCGTTGAAATTCCGCCGGCATGGTTGTCAATCCGTAGAATCCTGTTTTGAATCGATATGTACCGGTAGAACGGCCTCCCACCAATGAAAAATTGCAATGTTCACTAGTGTTTTCATTTAAAGGAAGTTGACCGTATGCGTACGTGAGGTCCATCGTTGTAAAAAAAACATCCCCCTGTTTGCGTTCGCTGATAGTTTGCCCTACGATGTCCATTAGTTCTTCAATATTGGGCATTTGGTATTTATTCTTATGCACTTGTTTGTTTAGTTCTCTAGATTCCAGTGCAAGTTTAACAGAACCGTCCTTTTTCACGGTGATGACAATAGGTGAAACAAAATATTTGTCTGAACATTCTTCCAACTTTTGGATATGACCCTGTCCCAACAGTTTTTCAATCTCCTTATCGACTTTTTCCTGTAATGTTATAGGTACTCGCCTACCTTTTTGTTGAATTGGAGTTAGGTTTTTGAAGAAATCTGCCTGCACCTTATAATTTCGAATGCGCCCTACCCTGTGAAAAAGATGTTGAAATTGCTTACAGAAATGTGTCTGCCACTCATCCAGGTCATTGTCCATCGCCACAGTTCCTTCCGTGGTATGTATGCTTTTCACCCCTTCTGTCGATGGTGCTTGTACCAGCATCAGTCCTAGTGAGGGCATTAAATCCCTGCCAATAATAGACGGTCGGCACCCTCCGATGACGTTTATATCCGACGAACAAGTCCATCCATTGGAATGAAGCGTGACTTGCATCTTTCCCAGAAATTTTAACGGATTGTTTCCGTAATCGCGGAATTGGTCGTCTTGTGGATTCAGCGGTTTCAATTGTACGTTGACTGTCCCCAGGATACGTTTTAGTTCCCCAATAGTGAAGATGGATATTGGCGAACCACTGTCAATCCAGGCTTGAGTTGCTTTGCCGTTGATTCTTAAGGCTAGTTTGGCCCCCGCGACTTTTAATTCCGTTTCCTCCTTCCGCGGAATTGACATAACCACATACTCCGTCGAACTATCCGAATCCCATCCATGTGCCGGTGTCTTTGAATCAGTCACCCATCCGACAGAACTTCCGTAATTGGATGCACTCTCCTCCGGATAATCTTGGGTAGTCCCGCCATTGGTGTCATCCTCATTTATCATGCCTACGCGACCCCTATTCGCCGATCGACGTCCTCTACAAGTTCGCTCATAGTGTCCCATTTTCTTGCAAAAATTGCAGGTTACATTTCTTGCTGGGCACTTTGGAATGTGGTCCGGGGTAAAACCACTCTGGTCGCAATTGTAGCACTTGCGATCTGCTGCTCCTCCGCGGCCCCTTGTGCCGCCCCTGCCAAATCCACGTCCGCCCCGTTGGAATGGACGACGGTACCCTCCTCTAATTGCGCTTATAGGCTCCGCTTTAATTTGTAGTGAACCCGCTGGTGCCGCAGTAAGTCCCCCACCGGATACTTTATACGACTTTGCGTATTTGTCCCCCCGTTCATATGACAAAGCAATCCGGTAGACCTCATCTGGTGTCTTAGTTGAACGGCATAGCTCCGTTTGGGCTTCCTTGTTGGACATATTTACTATGAATACATCACGTAACACCCGTCGTTCCAATGTTCCCAATGAGCATCTAGCGGCTAGTCCACTCAAAACGGAGTGAAATTCTTCTAGCGTTTCCCCGTCACGTTGTTTCCGAGATAGTAGCTGATACGTCTCGAATGTTTCGTTTCTTTCCTTGCGGAAAACACTCTCAAATTCATCCAAAACCCGTGGATATCGGGTAGTCGCCAGGTCCAGATGGGGCTTCCGGTTATGTAATTCGTCCTGTCCACGTTCCCCCAAACACAAATAGAGGTTAGAAATTAGTGTCTGCTCTGCTTCCACTCGATTTTTCCCATTCACCTCCTCTGGCAGACCGGTAATTTGCGCCTCAGTGAGCGTATTAGCAAAATAAAATGCCGTCGGATTGAATGAATGTTTTGCTATTACACCCCAGGTGAATCGTGTAATCCAATGCTCCCACAACATTGGTGCTTCCGTACATTTACTCGGCCAAAATGCCGTAATTCCCAGTGGATTTTTTCCTGATCCCGCGCTTTGTCCTGCTTGCTGCGCCATGTGAAAAATGCAGGTTCAATATCTTTAATTCACTGAACTAAGATTGACTCGTTTATTCTTTAACGGTTAGCAACAGTGAATCCAAACATCGCAGACTAAACTTAAGGTTGACAGGTATTAATTAATTAGTAGCCGCACCAGACACATAGCTAACCAATGGCGCCAACACGTAATATATGATTAGATACTATATATGACTATATAGGCAGCTTCATAAGTGGACTATATAGGCAGCTTCAATACTATATATGACTATATAGGCAGCTTCATAAGTGGACACCGACATGTTCAGGATCTCATAACTAAAATAGAAAAGATGGCCCCGTATCCGACGCGAAATTCACGCCAGGAACCGAATAGCGGTAGTGTTTAATACCTAACACTAGTTATAAAAAGCTAATATAATTCGTTATCTTGTTTAAAAAATGCTAAAAAACCAAAAAAAAAATTCAAAGATGTGAAAAAAGTACCAAAATGTATTCAATAAAAGGTGTAAATCAGTGATAATCATTCGCAGTGACTACTAGCATGTTTTCTCGTGTGTTTGGAGTGATTGACACTTCACAGAACTGTGATCTATTTGACACATAATTTGGACCTGTTTTACTATAAAATATTCACAAACCCCAGCTCCGACAGTTTGTCGTAAGCGACTGGGAACTCCACGCCGGCGTCCATCCAGTGCAGAGATATGAACTCCTTGGAGAAACCGTAACTCGACAGAATGATCCGACAACTTGTATTGTCGAAGGGAAAGTACCAGATATCCGGCTTGCAAGGAGCCGTAACTCTTATTTTCTGGTCAAACGTCACTTGGCCCGAAGTCTCGAAATGTAAATATTGAGCTATGTTGTTATAGATTACTGTTTTAGCCAGTATAAAGTAGGTGTCAGGGGTCCAGCCGAAATTGGCGATGTCTTCGCCGCTTAATTTTAAGGACTCATTTCTCGTTTGATTTGAGTTCCATATTTGAGTCATGTAAAGGTCAATTGTTGAATCGATATTGGTGATATCTGTGATACTTTCCATGGCTATTTTCACCCCGATATCCAACGTCGAGGTCACACTTGGGGGGAGACTTCGTTTTTCAATGAGGAACTGTTTGTCTCGTACAAAATCTAAAGGGATTCCCTCTGTCATGTAAATGACGTTCGACTTGTGCTGAATTCCGCTATCGATTAAAAGCGGCCAAGTGACAAAAATTATAATCAGTTTTGGAACCACGAAGCTCAAATGAAGTAAATTCACTAATGAGCTCATTTTTGAACTCATTTTCAAATTTTTTCAGCTCAAAAAATTCAGTTGTAATAGCACAGAGTGGTATTCTTTATTTCCGCTTCAAATTTGGTTAAATCAAACGAAAAATTTGGAGAACTCCTATTTGAAGAATGTAAGGTGATAATTGTTGCTCTTTCACTTGAAAATCCATTTCCTTTTTTATTTCTTTCTTTGTTCTAAATAACTGAAGCTTAAAACAGCATTGCGAAAGGCTATCAATTGATAAGTTTTTTTGCATCGGTCATTGAAGGGAAAAATCAGCTCCCAGGGGAAGGAAATTTCATTAGTGATACTTCGTGCTTTTTGGAGTATAATTCAATAATTCAATTCAAAACTGAAATTTGAATATCGCAAAACAATAAAATAAAACAGAAGTACAGTAGCTCGAAAACAGAATCACTCATAAATTAAAATAGCTCGGAAAAAAGTGACGTCAAATAACTTCCTTTTGTTCTGTATATGAAACACGGAACAAGGAAGATAATGTACGAAGTTTTGAGTCACCCGTTGTTTTAAATTCAGCTCCGACCTTATCTTTCTAGATAATTTCGTGATTGCATCGATTGATGGTCATCGTCATTGTCATCAGAAAAACAAAAAACTTGCTGATTTGAGATAAAGCTCAGCTGCCTCTAATCAAGTTGATAACAAGGTCTATGGCTGTAACTTCAACACACACTTTGACAAAAATGTTCTGATTTTTAGGGATTTAAATTAAAATCAGTCTTCAGTTAGTTACTTATATCAGCAAAGTAGGCTTTTTCCTCAGTTTAATTTTGTTGTCTTATACAACAGCAGACAGAATTTTAACAAATGGCAATAAAAGCTATATCGATTTTGGGATGAATTTCACTCAAGGGAGTTCTTTGCCTGCCTGCTTGATTTAAAAGCGAAAAAATACATATTTTTACCCAATGCAGACATAGCATGACAAAAAATTATAGTAAATGTTGAATTCTTCCATATCAAAGTAGCAAACAGGAATTAATTATATAGCCAAGTAGATTGTACGTTTTGAGCCAATTAGATTGAGAAATTAAACTGCTTGAATAGAAACACGCAGCCTAAAAAGTAATTTTGATTAAAAAATCAAGCAACAAGCGAAACAGTTGTAATTATCTTTCAAAACAACCAACGCAAAAAAAAATATATATAACTTTTACAATAAATGTTATATGAAACAGAAAAACTAAAATTTACCGGCAAACAAAATTTTCTGTTCAGTTGAAAAATCAGTACTTGAACGAAAGTTTGAACAAGTTGTCAGATTATCAACAGGTAATAAATTTGTACCGTAAAGGAAATCGTGGGATCCAAGTCAACACTTTCTCATAAAATTTGTGAAGGTGAAATTACTGGAATTCAAAATAACTTCTGGCAGTACATGCTAGAAAATGCGTTTAACATGCTATAAACAAAGTATTTTAGTCGTTTTGACAAGCAAAATAAATGTAGTTATTATAACACAAGTGTAGTAGTTAAACTTTTGAGGTTATTTGGTTCAAGTGTTGGGTTGGGTCCTAAAATTGAGTTTAATCCAGCCAACAATCAGATTTGAAGCATTGGGATTGGAAGCACAATCTCCCGTGATTTCTGCCCTCCGGGAACTCTGCCATAGTTTATGAATTGGGTGCGGGTATACATGCGTGTAATTTGAAGGCGACCCGCAAAAAGGAAAACTTGAAGATAGAATGAAATAGAGAAAAAGTATTGCGTCAAATCGGCTAAATTGAACCAAAATTGGGTAAATTTGCCCAAAAAATTATCATAATATTTTTACAACAAGGGATCATGTAACTATTTATCCTGAATTTAACTCAGCTCAATTGGAAATGTAGCGAATTTTTATTTATTGGTAGCGCTAAGCTACATAGCCAAGGGGCAAAATTAAGTTGGTAGCTCGACCAGGCCTAGGAGACCATTTGAGCTACAGGCTCTTGAACGGCAATAAACTTAGGTTGCAAAGAGCTTTAAAAATGCGCTCACTTTTTCATCATAATCAGAAGGCTTTTTTGAGGATCAGAATTAAATCTACGGCCGTTGATATTTCTGAAATCAATCTTTTTTGTTCTCCGCTAAAAGTGAAGAGGCTTCTTTCCTCTTTTTTATTGCAAATACAGTGAAAAAAGTACTGTTACCAAAGGGATCAAGTCCACAGTAACCTTAATTTAGACTAATGTCAAAGTAAATGTTCAGTTACCAGTTTAAAATGACCCCAGGTTAAAATAATCTCTCCATTTTCATTTTATGTCTCATGGCATTTTCGACACTGAAAATTCGCATACAATATAAATAAAGTATTCTAAAATGAGAGTAATTTTTTTCTTGACCATTCAAACAAATTTTTATTTAACACTGACAAAAAAAATGACATTCGAAAAAAACTGTAACGAATTTATATGAAAAAAATGTATTCTGAAGTTCTCATGAAGATAAGCAATGAAAGACTAATTGCTCGACAGATAAGTACATGTGCTAACAAGAACTCTAAAAACTCATTAATCTTTCGAATTAGAAAAATGTTAAATATCTCACTCCGATATCAGATTGCCTTTTAAAGAAACAAACCATAATGCCTCAACTGCAAAAATTAACAAAATAAATTAAATTTTATATCAGATTTCCGTCAGTTTTTCAGATTCTCTCTGAATTTGAAGTCAAACGGATCAACGGTTATGAAGTGACAAGCTTTTGTAAAACAACAGTATATTATGTTTCCGGCCTTAAGTAACTTTCTTTGTCTCTTTAACTATTAGTTTGTAAGTTTAATGCTATTCAGAGCAAGTAGTTACCCAGTTTTTTTTCATAGAAAAAAAAACAAACACAAATCTAAAAAGTATCTGTAATCAAATTCAAATTACACGGTACAATGAATTTTTTTTCGAAAATTGAACAAATATGAAGCTAGAACCCCAATAAAAAATTTTTTTTGGACAGTTTCTTGAGAAAACTTTCGAAAAAATGAAGTCTCTATTTTTCAGCATAACTTTAAACACGTCAAAGAATACTCACATTCATTGAAATTGATATAATAGTAAAATCATTTGATCAGTGATTCAGATTCCAAGTCGATATTTCCATAAAATCGAATCAAACTTCTATCTGTTCACAAAATTAACAGAGATACTAGTCATAACAAACTCGACAGCTAGTCAGCCTGAAATCATATCTTATAATAAGAGGTAAAGCCATGCTACAAAAACCAAACAACAGCGACGAAACAAATCATTGTACGAGTTGGAACACAAAAGCATATGTTTTCGGGGAAATCCTGCGACATATTGTTTAAAACTTTTATCAATTGTTTCATAGCAGAGCCTCCCCGACAATTTTTTAAATAATTATTTAAGAAAATTATTTCTAAAGCAAACCGTAATAAGAACAAAACTGAAAGATTCACAAAATAAAAAAAGTTGATTTTGTTTGTAAAAACTTTGTGATCATGTATATCCAATGTTCTTTTCAAGTTTTCTGCTGTTTCAAGAAATGTCAAAATGCACAAATAGGCTGCAAAAAGGAGCATTTTCATCAGCTAAACACAAGCTGAAACAATGGTCGGAACACACAAAAAAAATTGTAAAACTTATTTAAAAAAATCTAATTTAGTTCGAAATGGAAGAAAATTTTGCAAAATTGTTGGCACAAAAGCGTCTCACAAAACCTAATTTTGAAATGTCTATTCTTACGTATGCAATTTCAACTCAATAAATCAACCATAATTTTTTGATCTTCTAAAGAAAAAACAGATTGGTTACGAGGCCGACTGACTGTAACAAAAAGCACTAATGAAACGATGAAAGATTTGGCAAAAAAAAAAAAATTAGAAACTGGAGCGTGGTGTATAAATTTTAAATTGGTTGTAATTGAGCGCAAAGGTTTCTAAATTTTACATTAATTCTTAAAAATAAAGAAAAAATAATTAAAAGCCGTTTGAATCACGACTGAAAACTTTTTTTATAACTGCATGATTACTTGTGGTAGCGAAATTTGCTTAAGAAAAGAAAAAGTAAGAAAAAGTACAAAACACCCAAAGACAAAGTTTCTTCTAACTTTCAGAGGTTGGAAAATAACACGAGTCCGGCCACAACTTGAACTATCAACCATTGCACACAAACTCCACACATGGGCGTTACACAAGAACGCTGAGACAATACACGAAAAAAAAATCAAAATTGTCTAGTTTTTTCATTACAAAAAACCCTAATTTGTCTCAAACTACTGGCCCCAGAAACATAAAACATAAATTTTACACCTGCATTAAGTTCAACTCTGACTCTAGAGACATAGACAACAGACATTTGGAAAATATTCAATCAATAAACGCAAAGAAGAAAAAATGCTGCTGGTTTTTTGAAGAAATTCAACTTTTGAGTTTCACAGACAAAAAATATGTTTAATTACAGACAAAAAACAGCTTATGATGGGCACTTTTTGATAAAATCAACCCAATTGGAGAAAATTGGATCAAGAGATAAACTTTTTATTTCGCTGTGAAATCCGGAAATTACATTCCACTTTCGAAACTAGAAGTTAATAACGTTCTTCGAGACCTTTACATTTTAGCTGTTTGATAGTGGAATTTGTTTCGTTTTAGCGAAGGAAATGAAGTGAACATAACAAAAAAAAATCAAAATCAGACCACGAAAAACCAAATTCAAGCGTGAACAAACTTTTAGTATTTTGAAAAAAGGCCGATATAAATAAGAATCTTCACTTTGTTCATTGACTCTTAACAAGTTTAAAAGTGACAGATTATTTTAAAAACTGATTTGAAAAAGAACGTCAATTCGAAAGAAGAGGTTGTTCTAAAGACAATTAAAGTTTAGCTGAAGCCGGGCTCGAACCACCCATTTACGAGCTACAGCCCTTCACTGTACCACGCAGTTGTGTAAAAAACGCTTAACCTGAGAGGCGTGGGGAAAATATTATGAAACTAAAATATCTGATTGAACGCTGCAAATTGATATTTGGTGTAGCTCAGATATTTGTTTTTGAGACATGTCTAAAACATACTATGTTCTCAGGATATCTTGGACTCCAAAATGTTTGTCCTAGTCTCATGAGCAAAATCCAATCCTTTCAGGTGTACATATAAATTATGAAGTATAGCAAACCAAACACAAGCAACAGAAATACACCAAAAAGATAAGTTTGTCGACAATGTTTGCCAACCGTCTCCAGCCATCGGTCAAAACATCGTCAGATAATGTTTCCGGTTTCGGTTAGAGATGTTTTCCTTTTCTGTCACTTCGGAAACTGCTGTCTCGCTAACCATTTCTTCCTGGTTTATATTTTCTCTTTGACTTCTATTTGATTCAAATTTCACAGATTTTCTCGGCAGAGTTAGTTTTGATATTCTATAATTGAGAAAACGCTTGACCCGCTCAGACATTTCAGTTTGGTCTGACAGATTGTAAATTCCAGTTACGATGATAGACTCTACAATTGAAATGACAATTACAAGTACCAGTTAGACCATCAGCCAGCCATAGAGAGTAAAGGGTGGCAGAATCTCTGATAGAACCAGCAGCTCCACGACTACCAACACAAGAGTGACCAATTCAGCTTGCATTATTTATTTACAATAATCAATTTTTTACCCCATAAATGCTGGGAAATTTTTTAAGATAGAAGCTTTTTTATAAATAATAATAGAAGCCTTTAAGAAATAACCAAAATTTGGCCCAAAAATTATAACTTTTTTTGGATAATCACCGTAGTTTTCCAAGTTTTGAAGCCAACATTCAATTAAAAATAATCCAAGAAAACTTTGAACTTGTTTTTAGGCTGCTGAGTGGGTTTTGAAAACTAGCAGTTCTAAACTTTCAAACCAAAATTTTTGAAAAAAAATTAATTTAGTTTTCGCAAAGGAAGAGTCGCTAACAAGAAAAAAGGGAAAATTAACACTACCACGTAAAAGGTAGGGTTTCGTTTGAACTTTAACAGGCTCTTCTCCAGTTTCCTTGTAAAATTACAACAAGAAGTTGTTCAAGAATACTTCATACAACAATTTGTAAAAACAAAGTGAGATTCCAAAAGTTGCTTTGAACAGATTTTTTACATATATTTTATATATTTTTTTTCAGAAAAATCAAAGATGAAGGCAGTGGATTAGAGCCTTGAAAGTATATTCAATTTGGTTGTATTGCTGCCCATAACCAGTGGTGACTTTTTTAACCTTGTAATATAGTGGTTGCAGAATTTCCCATTGGCCTCGTTGTTTCATTCCTTTTATGGAATGTTCATCTTCTGGTCCAGATCTAACTTGTAGATCATATATGTTCCGTGTCATCACGCACTGCTCGGAGGAAATAATGCACTCCTAATAACACTTCAAACAATTGTTTTTCTCATAGAAAAACTTTAGTGAGTAAGCCAATGCAACCGAACCCCGCGACAACTCACAACAGAAGACAGCTTGCAAAAATGGAGAACTCAAAGTTTAAGGAAAGTTGCAACTCGGAAAGCTTAACCTTAGTTGAAAATACGGCATTGGCAGCTACCGACCGCTACATCCACTTAGCTCAGCTGC